AAATCTAATATTTAAAACCTAAAACAGAAAGCTTACCACATAATAGCTGCAAAATATTTTATAATTAGTGAAGCATTAAATGTAACACTGAGATAATCTCCCCATCCATAGGAAGGTAAGTCAAATCAATGATCACTCCTCTTTTTTTTTTGCTTCAAAACATACAGCTAGACTAGATACTATTTTAAAGTCTATTTTATTCCAAGACTTCTATCTCAATAATCAAACTGTTCATACACATTAAAAAATACATTTATTTTCTCTTTTAAAACATTTTTTCTCTTTAACACAAGGAAAAATTTTCTGTGCTTTTTAATAGAACAACTTGGCAAAGTTTACATGGTTTCTGAAGCCTCTTGGTTACTTTTATTACAGATGAGCTTGACCATGAGAGTATCAGAGGCCACAAGTGTATGCTCTTCAGATGTAGGTGCCTTGATAGCATGTTCATGGGGTCAGTAAGACCCACACTGTGGGACCAGGGAACCTCATCTTGGATATTACATTGGTTTGTGGCCCAGTCAAATCAGTGAATGCATAAAAAAAATGCAAGGTGTATCTGTGGTGTTAAAATTTCATGATGGAAGTAGGAGGAATAGAGAAGTACTAAAAAGCCTTGACAGAGGTGGAAGTTAATAATCACAACCAGGGTTGAGAAGCCTGCACCAAGGCAAGGAATCCTAGAGACAGGAATCTGCCTGTAGGGTGTACCCACTTTCCATCCTATTTACTCTACTGTAGGACATTTTTGGTAATGCTTTAAATTTAAACATGTTCAGTTCAGTGTAATATATAAGACTCAGTTATGCAAAAGCAGTTCTTGGGACAAAAGGAAGTTTGAAAAACAATCCTTTCTTATTTTTTAAATTTATTTGGTTGTTACAGGGTCTCACTGGGCAGCTCGAACTCAGTGATCCTCCTGTTTTCAGCCTCCCCAGAGCTGGGATTATAGGTGTATGCCACTATGCCTGTACTCTGTGGCTGGCTCAGTATGCCCTAGAGGTGGGGCTGGCATGGCACGTGGTGCTGAGGATAGAACCGCAGTCCCTGTGCTTGCCTAAGTTTGCCTAAACAGGCACTTTAGTACTCAGAGCTATTTTGCCAGCCCACAATCCTTTCTTTTGAGGTCAGCTCTTTCTCTGTGGCTCAGTGAAATCTTGCAATAGATAGTAGAAGGAAAGGCACTGGAAAGCATGCATTCTTCCCAAGATTTGCTTTAGATTAGGCTGGAAATAAAGGAAGAGAATCCCTTCATGTCCCAGGGGCCCAGTTTCCTCAACTATCAAATAAAGATACTAAATCATCAAAGGATTTAAGAACCAGATGGGAGTGGCTGGTACTGTTTCTGAACTAGGTGATAAGAATGCCATTAATAGTAATTGAGTAAAACACAACAGGGGAACAAGGGCCCTAGTGGATCTCTTTTGCCAGATTTTACAAGCACCCTATTTGGGTTTCCACTGCTGTCATTAAAAAAATCTTCGCACACAGGATGTAGCCCCTGCTAAGGTTAAATGAACTTGAAAAAATTACCAGTATCATATGGAGTGTGATTCAGTAAAAAGATATGAAGTTGGTCAGGAACACCAAGCAAGAGGAAGTGTCCTTTTGCTCCATAAAATTGCAATGATTTATTCTCTAAGGAAAAAGTCAAAGACCTGTACACAGGGAAAATGGCTGTGGTTTGTTAGGGGAAAATAAGGCAGAACTCTTCATAGGGGATTGCTGCTAGAAGGGATCATATGTGGACTATTGGTAGATGTTGGCATCATTCCACATCAACACAAACATGATGTATTATCACGTAATTTGAGATAACTTCCAAGTCTTTCAGGTGAGCAAATCTCTAGCAAGAGCAAAAGAGAGTAGCTCTGTTTAAGTAAGGGCTTTGGTGTCTTTTATCCACACTTAATTGTCTGAGCCCAGACAGATGCAGGAACAAGGTTATCTTGAGGTTCACACTGGTTGTTAGTTGCCCACTCAACAGATGTGAGCAGTTTAGCTGTCACCGTAAATCAAGGGTCCCCCGTTCATGTTATAAATAGGGATGGGTAAATATTTTGGATTCACTGGCCTGGAAGTATTTTTCAAATGTTTCTGGTTCAACAAAACAGAACACATCGTGCAGAGTACATTCTCCCTTGATTTTTGAGGCCCCTGTGTGATTTATGGGAAATAGAATCCATATGTTTCCACTTAATTTACTCTTAAATAATAAAGAGTTTGTGTGTTGTAAGAGCTATTTGATGTCCAAAATGCTTTCTATGCTTAATTGCCTCCCTTTTCCCCAATATAAAGCGATTAAAAGCTTTGGTCTTCCAAAGAAAAAGAAAAATAAAGAGTGAAAAGAGAAAGGGACAGAAGAAGAGAGAGGCTAGAAAAGCCTATTTGACTGAGATAAGTTAGAAGATCAAGAAGGTCAATGTAGGATAAAATACATACACATGAGTTTTCAAGTAAGTCCAGAATTTGAGGAAAAACAATTCTTCTCCAGCCAGTTTTAAAACTGGTTGGATGAATGCAGACAAGCGGTAACTCCCAGCTTAAAGATTGCTATAGGTCGTTGTTCTTGGGCTTCTTGAAAGTGGTAGTCTTGGTCAAGATAAAGAACTCCTTGCCCTATTTTAGAAAATAAATACTTGATCTTTACAATGTTTCCTGAAGTTGTCCTGTTCCAGGCCAGGATTTCTTATTTTTTCTTAATGTATTTAGTACAGGGTCTACAGGGTCTCACTACACAGATTGGACTCATAGTGACCCTCCTGTTTTCAGCCTCCCAAACACTGGGATTCCAGGCGCACTCCACCATGCCCAGTCTCAGGCTGGCACTTCTTATGTTTCTGCCTTTGACAAAAATAGCCTGAAGTGTGTGTGTGTGTGTGTGTGTGTGTGTGTCTGTGTGTGTGTCTGTGTGTGTGTCTGTGTGTGTGTCTATGTTTTGGGATGGGATTTTTATTGGCCAACTTCTTTAGAGAAATATCTCATTTAGCTCATAATTGGGATGAAAAAGCATGCAATTTCTGTAACATGAGAAACATGTTAACTATCAGTAAAATGACAAATGTGAACTGTTTTCTTGCTCCATCTCAATATTTAATCACTAACATAACAGCTTATGTCATTTTAGTCGTGCATTATGATATTTATAGTATCTTATGATTGGTTGGAGAAAAAGGTATTCAGTTTAGAAATACTTTATGCAATAATATGAAAGGGTTATCTTTACATCTCTGTAGAGAATACTTCTGTTTATTTTCATAGCACCAAAGTAAGTTAGCATGTGGAACTTGATGGCCCAAGAGGGTCTTCAAACTGTGGTCCAATGTCACTTCAACAGAACTAGCAGTCCTATGAATTTTCTACATTCTCTAGTTAAATTATCTAGGGCTCAAGGGGCAGGGTTTTGGAATATTAGTAAGGTTTTTGTTTTCCTAATCTCTACCTAAGAAACATTGAATAATATATACCTTATCCTTAGCACACATAGGTAACATAGATAATCACTGGTAATTTTGGTATGTGCCTTGGGAGTTAGATGTGTGTGTGCATGCACCTGGAGATACACATGCACGTGCACACACAGCATGTTTGCACAGAGTTTAAAGAGATCCTGTGTTTTGTAGCAGAAGTTGTACTTTTTTTTTAGCACCAGGGACTAGGTTTATTGAGAAGATTTCTCCACAAGAATGGTGCATTCAGGATGATTCAAAGGAGCCTCCTCCTGGAAGTCCTTTTTTCTGACAGACTATAGATCAGCAGCATCTTCACTAAGTGGATCTGCTCTGCAACTTCTCTTTAGCAAATATATTGTACACTTCCCCATGGTAGTAACAAACCATCTTGCCTTATGAGCTTCCATATTTGTATACCATTTCCACTTGGTAGTTTGCCACAGTTCTTAATCTTAGAGGGTTTTTAACACAAGCACTCAAAAAAAATCACTATTCAAATATATTTTCAACTGTTAGAAGTGCTGGTCATTTATTTGCCATTCCAGTATTTATCTTATGTTTTACTCTAGTACTTCTTTGCTATCATGAAAACTTTTTCTTAGTTCAATTGTTTTGAAGCATTTAAATTTCTGAATATTGCTTAATCTTAATTTTTGTTCTAAGATTTATACTGTATCTTTGACTTATAATTTATTTAAAAAGACATTGTATGATATCTTCTCCTAGTATTAGAAACTTTAAAAAGTATATTTCCATTTTCTGTTGACTTAAAAAAAAGAGGTTTGTACCTATAAAAAGTAAATTAATTAATTAAAGAATATATATATATATATTCAAATGTTGATCATGAAAGTGTTCGCTATATTTCAAGACATGTCAGAAATAAACAAAGCATACCTACAGTGGGTAGCTGCATGCATTTTAGACCAACGCCTACAGTATAGTACAGTACTTTTTGAGAACTATTCAGAATGCCCATATTCCTGTTCTAGCTCTTTTACTTAAAACCTGCTTTATAAAGTGCCTAGAAAGTTCATTAATAAGTAAACATTGGGAGTTTTGTCTTTCTTAGAAAAACAAACTGTGGCCAGGTGTGGTGGCATATGCCTGTAATCCCAGCACGTAAAAGGGAGGCTGAGGCAAGAGGATTGCCATACCTTCGAGGCCAGCCTGGGCTACATAGTGAGTTCAAGGCCAGCCTGAATTACAAAGCTAGACACTGTCTCAAAGAACAAAAGAGAACAAAACAAACAATGTGTTTTTACCCCATTCTTACAACCAAGGAGATCCATGTGATGTCAGCTAATTTGTCTCTCCTTGTGGAGTGTCAGTTCTCTTAGTAAAGTTCCTGAAGCAACCACACAGAAATATGAGGTTCATTTTTGCTGTCTGACTCTTATACTTTCATCCTTAAATTGTATTTCTCTGACTGGTTACTAGAGAACTCAGTGCTGTCCCTTTTGTTGACAAGTTGCCAGGCTACATCCAAGGGACAGAGACTGGAGTTACGGTTACCCAGCAACCGCGTATATGCTAACACAAACTCCCACAAGCAGGGATGTAAACTTTGGAGCTCCCAACTATTCTGCTCCTGTTTCTACCAACCTTCTCCCCGAATGTTCAGAGGAGCATAGCATGCCATGGTAAAAGCAGAACAGAGAGGTAAAGCACAAATGGTATAAGGTAAGACTATCAGATGTTTCCTTTAAACTAACAACTGCTTATTTTAGATATTCTTCTCTTCCACTTTCTTCTTATCAGTATGAAATACATATTTTTTTACTATAGAAAATAAAAATAATTAGACCTTAAGTAAAAAACTTCAAGTGCTCTAAGTGATATCATTTTACTTCACTGAATAGTGCACAATGATGGGTAAACTGTGGATTAAATAATGGCCAAAAGATAATCAAATTTCATTTAAAGGGATAATGCTTTAAATAATTTTTCTAAAAGATAAGTAAATGGGTTTTTAACATTAATCAAATACTGTATGTTTAATTAATCCAAATACTGGGTAGATTATATATAAAAGCAAAGGGGTGCTAAAGACTATAGCTACTGGGCTTGGGAGATAGCTTGGTGATCTAAGTGCCTGCCTGGAAAGTGCAAGGATCTAGGTTCCATCCCTGGTATCACATGCTGTACTGGCCCCGGAACCCTGGGCAGGCCGTGCTGGCTCTGAATAGATAAATAAAAGATATTTTTTAATTAAATTAAAATAGTATTTTTTGTTTAAAACTCTACCTCAGTGGAGTAGGCTGTTTCTTTTAATTAATTCAGATAAAATCTACGTGGAGTAAAACATAACAAATCTTGAGTTCTTATATTCAAGTTCCTAAAATCAATTAGCTTAATACAATCCTCACCTCAATTAAGGCATATGACGATTGTATGCACCTAAATAGTTTCCTCACCTTTTTTTGTTCAGTCTTCCACATGTTGTTTTGATTTCTATCACCAAAGAATAAGTTGCGCATTCATGAAATGAATATAAACAGAATTGTCTCACTTTTACTCATTGCAGAGACAAAATACCCTCTTATAAACTGTGTTGCTATAAACACGAGTGCACATATATTGCTGTGACATGATGTTTTCAATTCTTCTGTGAAGATATCCAGAAGGGGAATATGTTGGTCAAACTGGACTTCAAATCCCAGTTTTTTGAGGAATTTCCACAATGGTTTCAACAGTCTATATTCCTAGCAAGAGTTGGAGAAGGGTTTCTTTTTCCCTCCAGCTCCTCCAGCATTTGTTACTGGTTGATTCCTTGTTAATAGCTATTCTTTCTGGGGGAGATGGAATTTCAGTGTTGCTTTAATTTGTATCTCTTGAATGACCAGTGATGTTACACATTTTCATATATTTATTTACTATTTGTATTATTCATCTGAGAAACGTATATTCATCTCAGAAGCCAATTTTTTTATTGGGTCTTTAAATTTAGGAGATTTGATTTTTTGAGTTCTTTGTGTGTTCTCCATATTAATCCTTTGTCTGAGGAATAGCTGGCAAATGTTTTTCCCACATGGTGGGCTGTCTCTTCACTCTTTCTGTGCAAAAGCTTTTTAATAAGATGAGCTCACAATTGTTGATTCATTGTAATAGTTTCTGTGTGATTGCAGTTTTATTAATAAAGTCTGCATACACCAGTGTCTTCAAGAGTTTTACCTTTTCTATCTTACAGTGAATTTAACTATTTGGTTTTAATATTTAGATCTTTGCTCCATTTCTATTTTAGTTTAGTGCATAGTAAAAGATATGGGTCCAGTTTTAATCTTTGGCATGGACAAAGTCAGATTTTCCCACCTCATTTGTTAAGAAGGCTATCTTTCTTCTTGTGAATATGTTTGTCACCTTTGTCAAAGATAAGACAATTGAGTGTGGCTGCAGTTATTTCTGCGTCTTTTAATCTGTTCCACTGATCTTCAGGTATTTTTTGGGGGGGGGTAATACCACACTATTTTTATCACAACAGATTTATAGTATAATTTCAAGTCAGGAATTTTGATGCCTGATGCCTTGCTTTTGTTGCCTAAAATTGCCTTTACCATTCTAGGCCTCTTCTTTTTTTTTTTCAAAGTTTTATTGATAAACAGATAGCAATGAGACAGTTTCAAATCAACAGTTTCAAATCGGAAGTACAGTTTCAACAAATAATACACTGCATATATTCTTCTTAGTAGTTAATTGCTGTACAAGATGTGGGCTTGTGATCCTATTTACAAACACTATTAGAACAAATCATTCTATTCATTAAGAGAATGCAACTGTATATCTATCCCAACCACTTTGAATACGTAGATACAAAATGGACATTCGTAGGTATACCCCATTTTTTCTAAGTTCCGTTATTAAATATTATAGGTGTGTAAACTCAGCAAAATATTCTAAAAGAGTCCAGTAGCCCACAATAGCATTGGGTCTTCTGTTTAACTGAAAATGTCAGAAATTATTGACCTGAGTCCCCCACAGCTCAAC